TAATAATAATAATAATAATAATAATAATAATAATAATAATAATAATAATAATAATAATAATAATAATAATAATAATAATAATAATAATAATAATAATAATAATAATAATAATAATAATAATAATAATAATAATAATAATAATAATAATAATAATAATAATAATAATAATAATAATAATAATAATAATAATAATAATAATAATAATAATAATAATAATAATAATAATAATAATAATAATAATAATAATAATAATAATAATAATAATAATAATAATAATAATAATAATAATAATAATAATAATAATAATAATAATAATAATAATAATAATAATAATAATAATAATAATAATAATAATAATAATAATAATAATAATAATAATAATAATAATAATAATAATAATAATAATAATAATAATAATAATAATAATAATAATAATAATAATAATAATAATAATAATAATAATAATAATAATAATAATAATAATAATAATAATAATAATAATAATAATAATAATAATAATAATAATAATAATAATAATAATAATAATAATAATAATAATAATAATAATAATAATAATAATAATAATAATAATAATAATAATAATAATAATAATAATAATAATAATAATAATAATAATAATAATAATAATAATAATAATAATAATAATAATAATAATAATAATAATAATAATAATAATAATATAATAATAATAATAATAATAATAATAATAATAATAATAATAATAATAATAATAATAATAATAATAATAATAATAATAATAATAATAATAATAATAATAATAATAATAATAATAATAATAATAATAATAATAATAATAATAATAATAATAATAATAATAATAATAATAATAATAATAATAATAATAATAATAATAATAATAATAATAATAATAATAATAATAATAATAATAATAATAATAATAATAATAATAATAATAATAATAATAATAATAATAATAATAATAATAATAATAATAATAATAATAATAATAATAATAATAATAATAATAATAATAATAATAATAATAATAATAATAATAATAATAATAATAATAATAATAATAATAATAATAATAATAATAATAATAATAATAATAATAATAATAATAATAATAATAATAATAATAATAATAATAATAATAATAATAATAATAATAATAATAATAATAATAATAATAATAATAATAATAATAATAATAATTAATAATAATAATAATAATAATAATAATAATAATAATAATAATAATAATAATAATAATAATAATAATAATAATAATAATAATAATAATAATAATAATAATAATAATAATAATAATAATAATAATAATTATTAATAATAATAATAATAATAATAATAATAATAATAATAATAATAATAATAATAATAATAATAATAATAATAATAATAATAATAATAATAATAATAATAATAGAATAGAATAGAATAGAATAGAATAGAAGTTTATTGACATTTGTTTCTATACAGGAAGTACATTTTGGTCACAATATAAAATGGTCAAATTTTAAAATGTCAAAAAGACGTAACAGTATAATAAAAATAAAATTTAAAATTTAAGTACAAATACAAATAAAATACAAATACAATTTAAAATAAAAATATAAAATACAAATACAATTTAAAATAAAAATATAAACTAAAACACAATTTAGAATACAATTTAAAATACAATTTATCAATATAAAACTAGCTAAAGAACAAATTTACTAGTGTCAAACTGTTTGTTTAAATTTTAAGAACTCGTCTATACTATAGAAACATTCCTCAAGTAAGAACTCCTTGGCCAGATTCTTGAGTTTATTGTTGGTAAGATTTTTAATATTAATATTCAAGTGATGTGCTTGAAAGCAGTTGTATATTCTCACATCTATTTTGTTTTGCTTAGTTATAAGTAATCTAGAGGCCAGGGGAACAAAGTTGTTTGCATTTCTCGTATTATAGCTATGTAGATCAGCTTGTACGCTAAAGTTTCCTAAGTTAGTATGAATAGCTAACAGAGTTTCTAGTATGAAAACACACGGTAGTGGCAGTATACGAAGTTTCTTGAAGAGAGGGCGACAATGCGCGTCATAATCAGAATCTGCTACAATGCGTACGGCAGCCTTTTGTATAACGAATGCCTTATTAGCTGTGCTAGCATTTCCCCGTAATATTATGGCATAAGTGAGTATACTATGAATTAGTGCGAAGTATACTATTTTTAACCCTGCTGTATTTAGAAAAGCTTGCATCTGCCTAAGAGCAAATACCTGTGATGACATTCTAGAACTCAAAATGTCTATATGTTGAGCCCAGCTTAGACCAGAATCAAGGGTTACCCCTAGTAGTTTTACAGGTTCATCTTTCTTGACTAATTTACTTGAGGTGAAGACAATATGTTGATTCTTTTTCTCGTTTAGTTTTAATTCGTTTGAGTTAAACCAAATTTTTGCCATTGAGACACAGTTATTGTTCATAATCTCGCAGTCTTTCGTCAATATAGATGTGTCATCCGCAAATATTAACGTAAAGCCTTGCTCAACTGCGTTTGGCAAATCATTTATGTAGATAATGAACAACAAGGGTCCTAGCACAGAACCTTGTGGAACTCCTCTATTTGTGTATTGTAGTGTGGATTCTGTGTAATAATAATAATAATAATAATAATAATAATAATAATAATAATAATAATAATAATAATAATAATAATAATAATAATAATAATAATAATAATAATAATAATAATAATAATAATAATAATAATAATAATAATAATAATAATAATAATAATAATAATAATAATAATAATAATAATAATAATAATAATAATAATAATAATAATAATAATAATAATAATAATAATAATAATAATAATAATAATAATAATAATAATAATAATAATAATAATAATAATAATAATAATAATAATAATAATAATAATAATAATAATAATAATAATAATAATAATAATAATAATAATAATAATAATAATAATAATAATAATAATAATAATAATAATAATAATAATAATAATAATAATAATAATAATAATAATAATAATAATAATAATAATAATAATAATAATAATAATAATAATAATAATAATAATAATAATAATAATAATAATAATAATAATAATAATAATAATAATAATAATAATAATAATAATAATAATAATAATAATAATAATAATAATAATAATAATAATAATAATAATAATAATAATAATAATAATAATAATAATAATAATAATAATAATAATAATAATAATAATAATAATAATAATAATAATAATAATAATAATAATAATAATAATAATAATAATAATAATAATAATAATAATAATAATAATAATAATAATAATAATAATAATAATAATAATAATAATAATAATAATAATAATAATAATAATAATAATAATAATAATAATAATAATAATAATAATAATAATAATAATAATAATAATAATAATAATAATAATAATAATAATAATAATAATAATAATAATAATAATAATAATAATAATAATAATAATAATAATAATAATAATAATAATAATAATAATAATAATAATAATAATAATAATAATAATAATAATAATAATAATAATAATAATAATAATAATAATAATAATAATAATAATAATAATAATAATAATAATAATAATAATAATAATAATAATAATAATAATAATAATAATAATAATAATAATAATAATAATAATAATAATAATAATAATAATAATAATAATAATAATAATAATAATAATAATAATAATAATAATAATAATAATAATAATAATAATAATAATAATAATAATAATAATAATAATAATAATAATAATAATAATAATAATAATAATAATAATAATAATAATAATAATAATAATAATAATAATAATAATAATAATAATAATAATAATAATAATAATAATAATAATAATAATAATAATAATAATAATAATAATAATAATAATAATAATAATAATAATAATAATAATAATAATAATAATAATAATAATAATAATAATAATAATAATAATAATAATAATAATAATAATAATAATAATAATAATAATAATAATAATAATAATAATAATAATAATAATAATAATAATAATAATAATAATAATAATAATAATAATAATAATAATAATAATAATAATAATAATAATAATAATAATAATAATAATAATAATAATAATAATAATAATAATAATAATAATAATAATAATAATAATAATAATAATAATAATAATAATAATAATAATAATAATAATAATAATAATAATAATAATAATAATAATAATAATAATAATAATAATAATAATAATAATAATAATAATAATAATAATAATAATAATAATAATAATAATAATAATAATAATAATAATAATAATAATAATAATAATAATAATAATAATAATAATAATAATAATAATAATAATAATAATAATAATAATAATAATAATAATAATAATAATAATAATAATAATAATAATAATAATAATAATAATAATAATAATAATAATAATAATAATAATAATAATAATAATAATAATAATAATAATAATAATAATAATAATAATAATAATAATAATAATAATAATAATAATAATAATAATAATAATAATAATAATACCCCTCCAAGGAGCTGTTAGACCTTGCCGTTGGTGGAGGGGCTCAGTACCTACGATTCCAAGAGCAATGCCGGCGGGAGTTTATACTCCTGGTAGGGCCACCCATGCCGGTAAGGTCAAGGATGACTAGGGAAGCCAAGGACAGCTCAGCAGGAGTAAACCTGTACAAAAATCCGTAATCTATGGTGGAAGCAATCGTGCTTAAGGATGCATGGCTATACGTAGTTAGTCGCAAACGATGCCCTCCGGATACCAGGCGCCCTCCGGTTGTAAGTAGCCTTACTGCGACAAGCCTGCTCTGCCGTAGTTGACAGTATATCAGAGCCTACTCGTGGGACAAAATATGAATGCCTCTAACAGTAAAATTGATCAGCAGGTTGCAGTTCCAGGTGCAGAAACTGTAGCCGGTGACCGAATACTGCACCAAAACAAAAATTTCGTTGGGTTATCAAACCCATCAACAACACAGCAGACGATGGCTTCATTACCTCGGTTTCTGGTTGTTAAAAAACAAAATAATGAGAATGGTGAGAACTTTGAAAAAGTTAGCCCATTCCTTATTTCAAAAACTTTATATGGATTAATTGGCGAAACTAATTCAGTGAGAAAAATCAAAGATGGATTACTTGTACACGTAAAATCTAATTGTCAAGCTAATAGACTATTAAAAATAACAAAATTTAATGAAATAGAAGTTGTAGTTGTTCCACATAATACTTTAAACATCTCCAAAGGCGTAATCTTTTGCCGAGACTTACTTAACTGTTCAGTTGAAGAAATAAAAGATAACTTAACAAATGAGGGAGTTATAGAAGTGAGGAGGTTAAAGAAGAAAGTTGATAACATACTTACAGACACTGCAAATCATATACTAACATTTAATACCACTAAACTACCAACAGAAATTAAAATTGCTTATTACAACTTAAAAGTACGACCTTACATTCCTCCACCCACTCGCTGCTTTAACTGTCAAAAATTTGGACATGTTTCTAGTAAATGCAACAAAGAAAAATTATGCTCTTGTGGACAACTTCCACACGAATCGACTGTATGCACACAACCTATTACCTGTATCAACTGCGAAGGCTCACATCCCGCATATGACAAAAACTGTCCAAAATATAAAACCGAATCAGCCATATTAAAAATAAAAACAACGGAAAAAATACCTTACAATGAAGCAAAAAGAAAAGTCATGATAAAAACGCCTACGAAAGATGTATCATATGCTTCTGCAGCAAATAAAACTCCAACACCTATAAACGAGATTTTAAAAGAAATAACACCGCATCTGGAACAAATGATTGGTAAAATTATTATCCAAGAAATTAATAAATCAATGAAAAATATTTCAATCCCATACCAACAACCAACTTCACCTTTCCTCCAACCCCTTCCTCTACCACCCCTCTTACATGAATCTCCACCTACTCGTAGATCAGGAAGAGATAAACGCACTCGCACCTATAGCACAGAATCCGGAGCTAGCGAAACTCCCTCCAACTCACAAAAAGAAAAAATCAAAAGAAAAAAAAAGAAAGGAGGATGGCCCCAAGGCAAACCGAGAGGTACCAACTCTCGAGTACAGAGCAACGAGACGACACCATTAGAGTCTGAATCAGAAGAAATAGATTCTATTCAAGATTCTATCCAAGATTCTATCCAAGATCCTATCCAAGATCCTATCCAAGATCCTATCCAAGATCCTATCCAGGATCCTATCCAGGATCCTATCCAGGATCCTATCCAAGATCCTATCTCTTAATTTTTATTTTACAAAATTGATAATAAAATTATAAACGAAATATATTTACAGAAAAAAAAAAACAAATATAAAATTTATTTACAATATTTTTATTTAAAGAAACTTATTTACAAATATACTTATTTACATTTATATCTATCTATATACTAAATTATAATAATTCAAATTTTAAACTGTTCAAAAAAAAAAACAAAAAAGAAAACAAAAATGTACAATCTCGAAAAAATCATACAATGGAACTGTAATGGAATAAAATGTCATTATATGGAACTTAAAGAAATTCTTAATCAGGAACAGCCCTTCTGTCTCTGCATCCAAGAAACTCACCTTAAAGAAAATGAAAACTTTAACTTAAGAGGTTACAATGCATTTAATCGTAATGAAAACACTGGACAAAGAGCGCACGGTGGCGTATCAATTTATATTAAACAAAATATTAATGTAGAAAAAATAAATCTGAATACCCATATACAAGCTGTCGCTATAAAAATTAACTATCCGTACAAAACAACCATTTGTAACATATACCTCCCAAATATTAATTGGACATTAGAAGACCTACAGCATCTAGTTGAACAACTACCCACGCCTTTTCTTCTCCTAGGAGATTTTAACTCCCATAATATCTTATGGGGTTCCGAAATAACGGATAGAAGGGGAAGAAATGTAGAAGAAATCATAGAGCAATTCAATCTTAATTTACTAAATACCGGTGAAGGAACATACATAAATACGAGATCTAACACATTATCTAAAATAGACCTTTCCCTATGTTCTCCAATTTTGCAACCAAAGATAAAATGGAGCGTGTTAGACGAATCAAATACTGACCATATTCCAATTCGAATCGAGTTTGCAAATAGATTCATACACAACAATTTAACACAGAAATGGCTTACAGAAAAAGCAAACTGGAATATCTACCAAAATATACTTGAGAACTATACACCCGAAATGGATGGAGACATTAATCAAACAGTGAAACACTTTAGTGATGCAATAATTGATGCTGCAACAATTGCAGTCCCCAAAACAAAAAGTATATCACACAAAAAAAAAAGTACCATGGTGGACAGAAGAAATCTCCATTGCCATTAAAAATAAAAAACGAGCATTTAACCTATTCAAAAGATTACGAACCAACGAATCCATGATTGAATTCAAAAAACTCAGAGCCAAAGCTCGACAATTAATCGTCACCTCAAAACGAAAATCATGGCAAGATTACATAAGCTCAATTAACTCGAATACTACATCACAAGAAATTTGGAAAAAAATTAGAAATATAATGGGAAGAACATTTAACATACCCTCCCCACAGTTAATAGTAAATGAAACTGCAATTACAAACCAGGAAGAAATTGCAAACTTATTAGCAAACCATTTTCAAGAAATTAGTAGAATTGTCAATATGAACGATCAAAATCATCAACATCCTAACTTTATTTCAAATGGGTATTACGAATATAACATTCCTTTTAATCTTCAAGAACTTGAACATGCTCTAAGTGAAACCAAAACATCAGCTCCTGGTAACGATCAAATTATATATGACTTTATAATACGCCTACCTGAAAAACAAAAAGAATATTTAATAGAAATATATAATAACATATGGCAACACCATACTTACCCCTCACAGTGGAGAGAGGCAACTGTAATTCCATTCCCAAAAGCAGGAAAAAATCCAGAATTACCGACAAACTACCGTCCAATATCGTTGATATGTTGCATGGGCAAACTATTAGAAAAAATGGTAAGCTACAGACTAACATGGGAATTGGAGCGAAGAAAGTTACTAGACAAGTATCAAATGGGCTTTAGAAAAAATAGATCTACAAACGATCAACTCGTTCTCCTGGAAAATGCTATTCAAAATGCATTTTCTAGAAGAAACCACATAGTAGCTGTATTTTTTGATTTGGAAAAAGCGTTCGACCAGACATGGCGTCTGGGGATCTTAAAAACCCTAGACAAATGGGGATTTAAAGGACACCTACCATTATTTGTTGAAAATTTTCTCTCAGAACGAACATTTAGAGTTAGAATCCAACAAACCTTATCAGAAATATACACTCTAGAAAATGGAATTCCACAAGGATCTACACTGAGTGCATTGGTATTCGCTATAGCAGTTAACGGATTATTATCTGTAATAGAAGAACATGTAGGAAGATGCATTTATGTTGACGACCTAACTATATATTATGAGTCAAAAAATATTGAAGATATTGAAACTACCCTTCAAAGAAATATCGACAATCTAACAGACTACGCAAAACAACAAGGCTTTACCTTTTCCAAATCAAAAACACATTTTGTACATTTTTGTAGATTAAGAACACAACATAGAGAACCGATATTATTGCTAGAAGGCCAAAATATGGAAAATAAATGTTCAACCAAAGTTCTAGGAGTAACAATGGATAAAGGACTGTATTGGAAAGAACAAATTCAAAACGTAGCCCTTACATGTAAAAAATATCTTAACCTAATGAAATCGGTAGCAAGTATTAACTGGGGATGTAACTATAAGTATCTACTTATGCTTTATAAATCCTTCATCCTACCTAGAATAGATTACGGCAGTCTTATCTACTCTTCCGCTCGGAAATCAACGCTGAAGCCCCTAGAATCAATTCAAAGAACAGCATTAGTGATTGCCCTAGGAGCTTACAGGACTAGTCCATATCTCTCACTTTGTTGTGAAACTTCCATCCCACCTTTGGAAATCCGAAGAGAACAACTTATTGCAAATTATTGTTTAAAGATACTAGCCAACAACACTCACCCTATTTACGAAATTCTAAACTCCACAGAAGATGATGATATTTTTGACAGAAGATCCTCAATTACAAGACCACTCAGGATAAGATTTAAAGAGATGTTAGAGGTATTAAACGAAACCTGCCCAATTCTCATTAACAATCAAGAATATGAAGTCCCACCATGGGTAACAAATAATCCTGTTATCAATTACGATTGCTTGAAACACAAAAAAGATGAAACTCCCGCACATATTATAAAACAAGAATTTCTAGCAATATTAAATAATTATCAAAATAGTCAAACCATCTACACCGATGGATCAAAAAATTCAAACAATGCAGGCAGCGCAATTTACTGCAAAAATATATCATCCTCTTGGTCACTACCGTCGGCTGCATCAATCTTCACAAGCGAGCTATATGCTATATGGCAAGCACTAAAATTCATAGATCTTGGTGGAGACACTTATAATATATTATGTACTGATTCACTCAGCTCGTTACAAGCCCTCCAAAATAAATTCAACCCAAATCCACTTATTAGGCGAATTCTATCAACACTATTTCACCTGAATTCAGAAGGAAAAGAAATTGTATTCATTTGGATACCTAGTCATATTGGGATTACTGGCAATGAAAAAGCTGACCAAGCTGCCAAAGATGCGTTAAATAAAGAACCTGAAATGATACCAATCACGACTGACGATATAATGGTCCACATAAAACACAAAATACTAAATAAATGGCAACAAGATTGGAGACAACACCCCAGCAAACTGAGCAGAGTAAAACCCTCTACAGAACAATGGAACTACCCACAATTATTAACCAGAAGAGAACAGGTAGTGATCAGCCGTCTCCGAATTGGTCATAATAGAATTACCACTGCTTATTTACTACTAAGAGAACATCAACCTAGATGTGAAATCTGCAGAATTCCACAAACTACTGACCACATACTATTAGAATGTCCAATATATGACCTGCAAAGACAACAACTGAACATACCAAATAACATACATCAATGCTTAAATAACACAAATTCAATAACTAAATGCCTGTTGTTTTTGAAAACTATAAATCAATATAAACAAATCTGAAATTAGACAAAATAACGAATATAAATAAATATAGTATGGCTAATGACCTTAGCAGTCGAAGCCAATAAAAAAAAAATAATAATAATAATAATAATAATAATAATAATAATAATAATAATAATAATAATAATAATTAATAATAATAATAATAATAATAATAATAATAATAATAATAATAATAATAATAATAATAATAATAATAATAATAATAATAATAATAATAATAATAATAATAATAATAATAATAATAATAATAATAATAATAATAATAATAATAATAATAATAATAATAATAATAATAATAATAATAATAATAATAATAATAATAATAATAATAATAATAATAATAATAATAATAATAATAATAATAATAATAATAATAATAATAATAATAATAATAATAATAATAATAATAATAATAATAATAATAATAATAATAATAATAATAATAATAATAATAATAATAATAATAATAATAATAATAATAATAATAATAATAATAATAATAATAATAATAATAATAATAATAATAATAATAATAATAATAATAATAATAATAATAATAATAATAATAATAATAATAATAATAATAATAATAATAATAATAATAATAATAATAATAATAATAATAATAATAATAATAATAATAATAATAATAATAATAATAATAATAATAATAATAATAATAATAATAATAATAATAATAATAATAATAATAATAATAATAATAATAATAATAATAATAATAATAATAATAATAATAATAATAATAATAATAATAATAATAATAATTTATTTACCAAAAATAATATAAAAACAATGTATAATGTATATCAAGTTCGTTCGAGATAAATAAACAGAAACACCCACAAAAAGAATCCTTGAGCATGGGTTATTATTGGTTATTTAGGACTAGCAGTCTTAATAAAACACAATATTACAATATTATAAAAAAAATGAAAAATTATACAAAAATAATATTTGGAATAATATGAAAAACAGTTACGTAATACTAAGTTTAATTTAATATTAATATTTACATTTTATCAACTATTTTTTTTTGTTCTAGACAAATTATTAAATTGAACTAGTAAACCAGACTATAACATTCGTTATTTGTTGAAATAAAACG